GGATATGGAGCTAAGCTAGCACCTCGCTAACGCGGAAAGGCACGGAAAAGTCATTGGCTTGGCACGTTTCGCCCTCTCGTACGTGTACAGTGTACAGTGTACAGTGTACTCGCGGCTGCACGTGACACGATCGTGCGATGACGGCCTGTGTCACCGTGCCATTAGTCGTTCCAGTCTCATCCTCACCCACGCAACAGAGCCTTTATTTTTTTCCACTCGATCCAGTTCCATCAAGCGTGGAAAATTTGATCCACCAGATTATCGGAGACTCTACAGCGGAAACAGCGTAGAAGGATCGGAGCACATATAAACTACTAGACATGAACACATTAACACAATAATATATGATCACGGCGTCGATGGAGACGTCCATGGCTTCAGTTTCCCGCACATAAATTATTGTACTATGGCAATGTTCGCTCGTCTCGCAAGCCGTACTTTTTCAACGAAAAAATAATATTTTTCTCTCATACCAAATTAGATAATAATATTTTTTCAACTTGTCTTTTTAGGAAAACGAACCGCGCCTAGGTATATTTCCGCTTTGAGGCGTTTGTTTGGTTTCGCACGCAAACGCGAGCGGAGACTCCCAGAACTCCACGGCTTCCAGAGTCCAGACCCTCGCTGTCACGCTGATAAGAATAAGAAAATTTAATCGACGAATCGTGCGAGTCGCGCGCCCGCTGGGCTTTGCATTGGTCGCTGGACTTGGACGTCAGGTTGTGCAGTGCACCGGCCGGCCGGTCTACCGTCTACATCAAGCTGCAAAATTTTAAATTTGACCGGCTCACAGGGAATGAAGAAGGGAACCTTTCGCCGATCGATCCTCCTGCGCGCGGAGACGGAGAGGGAGAGCCATCACTATTTTACTCCATCGGCGACTCCGGACAACGGGGGCAAGGAAACGGTTTTGATGGGTGTGTGAAAAGGGCTTTGCAGAAAGGAGATCTCAGTTCCGTTGAGCAATGTTTTTGGAATAGGACGATAAAGTCAAATAGCAAATAATCGCTACAAAGATCAGCATGCATCATCTGATAGGCACTTTGAATATTAATCTAGAGTATCGAGGTAAACATTATTAGTACACTACGGTAAAGCTGAGCTGTACCTCAAACATGCATACAGCTTAACCAATCGAGTTAACTTCGATTTTCCACGTCATGACGTCTATCCTACTCGTAGATATATGGGCGCAGGCAGAGCGGAAAGCACCGAGCAGCTTCAGTCATCGAAGCTTTTCCGAGACATAGCAGTGGCACGGCATGTGCCCGGCACTCTTTCTTCAATCGTCATGGCCTTGTTGCGGAGAAGACGAGAAGGTCGTGTCTCAGCCTCAGCCTCAGGCCAGCGAAAAGGTAAAACTACTGGTAGTAGCCGATGCTTTCGTCCCGTTAACTTGCTTATAAACGGTACTTTTTCAGCTAACAAACAGTATTCTTCTCTTATAACATATTAATCAACGGTACTTTAAGTGCTTATCAGTCAAATAAATAGGACATTTGGAGTGCAGCTGCAGGCAGTGAGAAGCTACAGGTAGAGGCGGGAGTGAAGTTAGGCATTGTTTAGTTCTTTTCCATAAGGTTCTCTCTCTATCATATTGAATGTTTGATACATACATGGAGTATTAAATATACACTAAAAATAACTAATTACACAGTTTGCGACTAATTTGCGAGACGAATCTTTTAAGCTTAATTAGGTCATGATTTGACAACATAGTGCTACAGTACACATGTGTTAATACCGTATTAATTAGACTTAATAAATTCATCTCGCGGATTACTTACGGATTCTATAATTTGTTTTTTTATTAATATCCGAACACCTCGTACGACATTCCTATATGACATCCGATGTGACACCCCAAAACTTTACACCCCGAATTTAAGCAAGACCTTAGTCTGCAGCACGCTAAAGTCTTTGGAAGTCCTGATGACTGTCCAATGCCTACCTAAACAGTGCTGTTGTTGTCCGTCCTGTTTGCTAGGACTACTTCTCAATCAACGAACAATATTTTTTTTCTCACAACAAATTAGAATAAGCATCCGTATAAACTAAATTTCAGCATAAACGAACAGAGTAGCCGCCTCAAGCTTAAACAGATTGGGTCAAGAGGGTCCTTTGATTTCTCCCTAGTCCCATGACTATACCGCGCTACTATACACATCGGCGTGTACATGCGTAATATTATGTCGAGCCTGCATGCCTGCTGAAGTCAATACGGGGCGTCCGTTCCAGATCGGACGAGAGTGACGGACTGACGGTGCACGAAGCATTGTGCCTGTACGAGCAGGCGGCTACTACTGCTATACGATCGCGGGCAGAGCGCCAGAGACAGCAGAAGCAATCGGCAGGAAGGAAGGAGCCGAGAAGCTGCCGCTGCCGTTGAGGCCGTGGACCATTGACGTCTCCCGCACGCACGACAAGACAAGTCTTCGCTGCGCCCGTGACCCTCCTATCCTATCCCATGGTGGGCTGGGAATGGGCATCCTCCTCTTCTGGAGACCGGAGCCCAGACCGGCAGACGTGGGCGGACTAGTCCACGGTCAAAGTCTGTCTTGACCTTTGACTGGTCTAACTCTATGTTCCTGGAGTATGCCCCCACCCCACCCATAAAGCTCCTTTGTTTAACCAAACCAAACGAAACCCGTGGCCTTGTGGTGGGCAGTGACGGATGGTGCTTGGAACTGGAAACCACAAACCAGCAGCAGCCTGTAGCAGATTAGATTCGATTCAGTGTCGAGAGCTAGCGATGACATTAATAATGAATGAAACCCTGAAATTGGTTAGCATAACCGTCGTGATCAGCCTTGATAAGAAGTCTGAGCTGCCGGCGGTTTTATTCCGATTCAGACCTTATAAGCAGCTCCAAAGAATCACTACTGTCCAATGGGCAAATTTTTCTATGGGCCTGATCACTATCCAACAAGCACCTCCAAAATTTTCTAAATGGACCTCGCCCTATAAGATTAAGGGGCTCTTGCGTTTGTATCATTGTTTTGTATCGAAATTGTGATCTTGTCCTTATTTTTTTTTACTTTGTGAATTTACTCTTACTGTGCCATTTCGTAATAAGAAACGAGCGTTCGTGCATGTGCCATTTCATAATAAACTGATTAATCTAAAAAAATCGCAATAAACTGATATGATAGGGATTATATATGTGACATACGATTTGTGGTACTGCATACACCCGAAACGTTGTTACCAATCCGCGCATTCCCTCTGCACTCCACTATGTTAAATAGTAGGCGCGTCGCAATCAGAGGCTAGAACAAGACCACTGCACACCATCTTTTTGAGGACTTCCACACACACAGCTGATGTGTCCTCCGGAGTCGTGATCCGGAGAAAATCACGTGCTCCGCTGGTAAACAATTCTCGGACAGCGAGGACCGAGCGCCAGCCCGGTTGGTTGAGTCTCCCGTTGGTGGAGCAACCGCTTGTGGGTTCGATCCCTGGGATCAGCTCACGTGCCTCACCGAGGTTTTCCTCCATAAATAATCAGGTGTGTGCTGGACAGCATCTCGCCTCTCTCGCGTGGTGTCATAATGGGATCATGACGTATCCATTGCCTACGAAGTTAGTGGATTTCGATGATTAAAAAAAACGCGGTCTTTAGATCTGAGTGTAGCTATAGATTTATTTACATACGGATAATGTAAGTAGTGTGCGTATGCGTTGAGTAGACATGTATATACGAACACATGCTACCGCTGTACCGAACGAGAGGCAATCGAAAAAAATTCTCGGACAGCAGCATGTTTGTGCGAGCAAAGCGAGACTCCCCATTGGCGCGACTCTGTACAAAGAAAGCTAGCTGGCTGGCAAAGCACGTCAAGAAGCAAAGTCCGGGCTGGCCCCCACAAAAGCTGTGGCCGTCTCTATCCTCTCGTGTTCTAGTGTAACCAGAAGACGGTCTAGAAGCAATGCACCACATGACTTCCACGCCATTTCTTCCTGTTCCTGCGACGGCAAAGCTTCAGGGCCACGGCCACCGCATTGAATACAGATCCATCCATAGGTCTTGTCACGGCGGCTCCGGTGTCGATTCCGCGCTCTGCTTATGGCGGAGGAATTTCCATGGAACAAAACGCCTCTCGTCTGGTACAAAAACACGAGAGAAATGCAGGTCCGGGGCTCAGGACTTAGGTGTCACGAGATTCAGTCTTCGTTTGTTGGTTTACGGTCATTTAAATAATTAGTAATAGTGTTTTTAAAAAAAAAGCAGACTCAACCAATCCAAACCAAAGACTAACATCAACCAATGAATGAATAATTTCATTATCTACAAAAGTCAGCTGCTTAAGAGACCCGATTCGAAGAGCTTTTCGTATAATAATAAAAATCACCAAAAGACATGGGGAAAAAGAAGTGTCCCTTCTTGATCATCACGAGATCGCCGTGTGAATAAGCTCGATACCCCGAGGCGGATATGCGCCCGGGCAGACCAGGGCAGGCGCTGGACTATCTAGAAAGCACCGAGCGGTGGCACGGGCCAACGGCGCCGCGGCACGCACGCACGACCTGCGTGCCCGGTGCCCCCAACGCCACGACGGGACGACACGAGATGAGCCCGGCCGCGAGCGATCCACCTCATCGCTGACGCCACCGGACTGCTAGTCCGATCCTTCTTCTAATCTAACCAACGGCCGGGAGCGGAAAGCCAGCGGCCCTCCCCGTAAACTACTCGACTAGATAGATTGCAATCACTGGCACTAGCATTAGCGTCGCCTAACTGGGCCTCGACCGCTGCTTATTTTAATTTCTATTACCCGGAAAAACCCCATTCCGTCACGTGGCTCCAGGTTAGGAAAGTTCAACGAACCGCGACGCCGGTGTGAACCCGCCTCCGCCTATATAAACCGGCCCCGGCCCAGCCCTCGCCGTTCAACTCGATCACTTCTTCCATTCCCATTCGACACACGCACAGCTCACTCCCTCCTTCAGTTTCGTCATCAGCTCATAAACCAAACAGAGAGACAGAACTCGATTCCAGGATGCTGCTGAACCCGGCGTCGGAGGCGTTGGTGCTGGACACCATCCGGCAGCACCTCCTGGAGGAGCCGGCGGCGGCGGCGGAGGCGCGGCCGGCCGACGAGACCTTCGGGAGCCTGGTGGCGGACCGGTGGAGCGGCTCGCTCCCGTTCCGCACCGACGACGCCGATGACATGGTGGTGTTCGGGGCGCTGCAGGACGCCTTCGCCTACGGCTGGCTGCCCGACGGCTCCTTCGCGCGCGTGAAGCCCGAGCCGGTGGGGTCCCCCGACGACTCGGCCTACTCCTACTCCTACGACGGCTCCTCCTGCTTCGGCGGCCTCCTCCTGGACCTGGCGGAGCCGCTGACGCCCAGCAGCGAGGGCGGCGAGGCGGCCGCCACGCCCAGGCGGGAGGAGGCCGTGGCGGCCGTGGCCAGGGGCAAGCACTACAGAGGCGTCAGGCAGCGCCCGTGGGGCAAGTTCGCGGCGGAGATCAGGGACCCCGCCAAGAACGGCGCGCGCGTCTGGCTGGGCACCTACGACACCGCCGAGGACGCCGCGCTCGCCTACGACCGCGCCGCCTACCGCATGCGCGGCTCGCGCGCTCTCCTCAACTTCCCGCTCCGCATCGGCTCCGAGATCGCCGCCGCGGCCACCGCCGGGGACAAGCGGCCGTCGCCGGAGCCCGCCACCTCCTCGGACTCCTCGTCCTGTTCCTCCTCCACCTCCTCGTCTTCGACCGGCGGTTCGCCCAAGAGGCGGAAGCGAGGCGAGGCCGCGGCCGCCAACATGGCCATGGCGCTGGTGCCCCGCCTTCCCAGCTTAACCGGCCGGCCCAGCCATGGTTCCCTGCCGCGCCGGTCGAGCAGGCGGCGATGGCGCCGCGCGTGGATCAGCTCGTCATCTAGCCCCGCGCCGATCAGTCAGAGCCAGCCAGCCACCGGGCACCGCGGCGAGGCAATGAGGCGTGCAACGAGGGATGATGCGCCAGCGAAGGCGGAGGAACAGGACAACAAGGCCCTGCGCTGCACTTGCGCGGTGCACGACGGGGCAGCGCGAATGCGACGGCGCGCGCGCGCATCCCGGTGACAGCTCCACCGGATGGAATGCGATTAGCTTGGGCGCAATTGGTTGGGGTCCGGACGAGCTCCGGATGCCGATGTTGCTCCGTGCAACTCGCGCAAGTGGAAGAAGCTGTCTGTGTGTAATCAAGTGTCTTGTCTGCGAAACGAATTTTCGGTATATGCGTCGTTGTCACTTGTCAGGGTGGTGTGCTGAGGGCTGATGAGGGCTTGTGCTGCTGATAAGTGTCTGTTCGCTTAGGCCGATAAACCATGACTAAAAGTATCGTTAGCTGATCTGGTGTAAGAGAAAAAGAAAAATAATGTTTGTTAGCTGAAAAAGTACGACTTATACGTAAACAATGCGAAGTTTGGAAAACTATACAAACAAAAAAAACGGAGGGAGACGATGAGATCAAGAACAATCCGCTTTGTTCGTTGGCACCACCAATGAGTACGCCATCATCTGATAAATATCCAAGCGGCTAAACAGGCGCGCAAGTCAACAAAACAGCGACCTGAACTCACGACACGTCGGCCCTGTTCGTTTTGCTGAAATTTAGGTTTCGTTCAGTTCTAAAAAGTGCTACAGTAATTATTATATCGAATTTTATGATACGTGTATGGAGCATTAAATATAGACAGAAAAAAAAACTAATTACACAGTTTGGTGGGAAATCGCAAGACGAACGTTTTGAGCCTAATTAGTCCATGATTAAACACTAATTGCTAAATAAAAACGAAAGTGCTATAATAGCCAAGTTCCTAAATTTCGCGGAACTAAACAAGGCCTTAGTTGACGTTACTGTTTATACGGACTTGTCGTGAGAGAAAAATATTGTTTCTTCGCTGATCCGAACTGCTTGAGAACGAGATGGAAATGGACTGCTGAAGGACAAGATGGAAAACGAAATCCCATGCCGAAACCGTAAATCACCCCATGAAACCAAAATTGCAGAGCCGCACAGCCCTGTAGTAGGAAGGTGGGTTGCCCACGGCAACGATATCGAGAGGTGGTTAGCCCAGCTCCAGCTTGAAGATGTACACTGGATTTGGAGTGTGTTAGATAAAACAAAACGAAAGGGCTTAACCATATGCGTGTTACTAATTTGAAATAGAAAACAAATCTGTCCGAGTGCCGATAGCTCGGTGGAGCAAGTGGCGCGAAGGCGTCAGCGTCGCCATCGTGCTTTGCGGTGGTGCTGGAGACGACGAAAGGGATAAAGACGCAGCAAGCCAACAAGCGATGAAAGAAGCGGGAGCCCTCGTCATTACTCCTAACAACGATAAAAATCTAAGGCCCCGTACGTGCTTATCCGCGACTTGTGTAATGCAAGGACTAAGGAGGGATAAGCATGCGTCCGTCGCTCGTCACATAGGACTACAGGAGGATTGCCCTCACTGCTCCCAGGCAGTATCCACCACAGCGTCGTCGTGTTGCGCAACAGCTGGACTTGGGCCACGGTACGAGGGAGTAGTATATGAGATGTTTTTTCTTCCTTTTTCCAACTTGTTGGGTATTCTGGGTGGAAAGGGACAGCAAAAGGGGGAAAAGGTGTATATGATCCGCCTACTTGCCGGTCGACCAGTATGGCACCTGATTGAGTACAGGTCACGGGGCAAAAGCAGGCCACTGTTTCATGAATAGTGAGTGGGTCATGAACTCATAATATGCTGTGCAGGAATTTTTATTAGCATGAAAAAGAGGTGCGGAAAGGAGAAGGGAGAGAGAGAGAGAGCCACGCTTAGTTTGGCAGTTTGGAGTGGAAAGGGCTGTGCTTCGAATTTTTCCTTGCAAAAAAGGCGTGATTGGTTTAATTGGAGCGGAACTGTTCCCATCAAAGTATGGTATAGCAGCAAGCAAATGCAGCTGCACAGGGCAAGCTGCCAAAGATGTGGCGGGGCACCAGCCACGTAGGCTTGACGTGGAAACCATTGTCCTACGCAATAAGAATTTTATTTACTTACCATCGAACACACACTTGGAGTGAAGCAAATTTGCAGCCAAAATCAGGCAGATCGATTTTGAACGGGAAGGACAAAGTCAAAATTAGGTTATCTTCAACGACAACACCCAAAATACAAGACTTATTCGTCATTTGGGTAGCGCTATAGGTAAAAGGTTCAATACCTATTCGACATCTTCTCCAACAACAAGACACAAAAGATAATTCTTTGTGCAAATAGATTTCCAGGAGAGAGGATGTCCATATTTGAAATTTGTCTCTCTCGAAGAACCCAAAATAGATCTCTCGTATAGATACTTTGTTGGAGACTAATTTTAGATCTCTTGCTGACTATTTTACAGTCTTGCAGCCCGGCAAAAGCTCGGTGCTAGTAGTAGCTTTGGCTTCAGTGGTTCGTCTCGAAAAGGAAGGCATAACCGGGTGACGGACCTGTTGGTTTGATCTCCCAACCACGGTGGCCCAACGACCACTTGGGCCTTGACCTCAGCATACGATCGGGGCGCCCGGTCCATCTATGGTGGCGGGCCCCGTCACATCACATGATTAAATAGAGGTGGGGTCGACGGCTCTCTGTCACGAGGTTCGCTTGAGCCATCGCCCCACCTAGAAACCCTACTCCGATCTAACAGAGGGCAGCCCGGTGGCCAAGGAAGGAAGCACCGCGCGCCGCCATGCATCTGCGTCACCACGGTCTTCAACTGCGTCGCTCTCTTTCTCCGACCGTCATTGCCTAGCGCAGAACTTCACCGATGAACCTGATGGCCGGATCCCCTACTCACTGGATGGTCAGTGCCTAACCCTAGCTCTTCCTCTCCCTCTCTGTCCCTCTCCGTTCACACCATTACTACGAGAAACAAAATGAAATCCCACTGGATCCACTACTAGATGATCAAAAGAGTATAACAATGGTATCGGAGCCAGGTTTACCTAGGCGTGGATCTTGTCAGGGGCTAGAAACCGATTAGAAAAGAAAAGATAGACTAGATCCGTTCGGATCTAGACAGAGAACGAAGAACCGCGTGGGGAAGATGAACGGTTTTTAAATCGGAAGAAGTAGAAACCCTAATCCTAGCAAAGAATAGAGAGAAAGGGAGGGTACCCATAACCCTAACCCTAACGAAGGGAAAAAGAAATGGACGGCGGTTCGGGGAAGTCTTACCGGGCCTCCCATGCTGCCACTCCTCTACCCCTCACGCGGGATGGAGTACCCATCATCGGCTAGGCGGCGCGGGAAGAGAATCAAGATAACAACAAAAAGAAAAGAACGGAGCTAGATCCGATTCGGATCGAAAGAAAAAGAAAACAAAGGGTTCATCGAACCCTAAACCCTAGTCAGGTGAAGACGGAAGGGCTTGGCTTCAAGACCGCTTGATCCGAACCCTAACCCGCTGCAGACTCGGGGGCGAAGAAGAAAAGGGTGAATCCCTAACCCAAACCCTAACCCTAGAATCCCCAAATCCCAAAGAAAGATGAGAACGAACACGAGGTCCTACAGGCCTTTTATCCCGCCGTCGGCATCGCCACCGTCAAGGGAAAAAGACTTTCTCGCGCCGTCGTGGGGAAGGCGGCCGAGCTACGCCACCGCTGCGGGCTCGATCTGCAAAAGGGCACCACCGTGGCTCTCCTCGACGGTGCAGCATAGCTTTAGCCGCACACGCCGCCAGCCGGCGAGAGGTGCCATGCGGCGCCGCCACTCCACCTCCACTTCCTCCTCTGGGCCAACGTAGCAATTCTTTGCTCTGCACTCGGCAGCGGATGAGAGAGAAGGGAGGAGAGAATAAAGCTAGGGATTCTGAGGAGGCGTCGTCAGGCGGTGGTTTTGTTCGCCCAAGATCTTGGCGCTTCGGCCGTCGGATGCGCACGGACGGCCGAGATCTAGCGGGCTGCCGTGGCCCAGGCGGGCGCTGCGCCACAGCGCGCTTTACCCGCCCAGCCCACGTTATGGGCCTGGGTGGCGAAAGCTGCTGCAGGGAGGGAGCAAGGCGGGCCGGATGCCGTTTTGGGCCGAGCCAGCCTCTGCTGTCTTGGGCCGAGAAAAGAAAAGAATGAGCCCGGGCCGTATCTCCGGTTGGGCCGAATGCACAATGGTTATTAAGAATTGTTTTATTTATTTTCAGAAGCTATTTTGAATGAATAAAGTTAAGTTTAAATGTTTTATCTCTACTCAAATTTGATCCAACGTGATAATTTGTTTAGAAAACGAGATGAGTAAAGTAAAAATGCTTCTAAAAAGTAGGAAAAGAAATTTTGTCAAGTTTCCGCTGCAAAGTTGAAGGTTTATTGTCTTCTAATTTGAAGAGTAGTTATAGTTATTCAAGAATGATGAAAAGTTTATCCTCCGATTAAAATTAGAATCAATTTGGAAAATTTTAATTGGAGGAATAGTCGGTTGATAGTTAAGATAAATTATAATATTGTTATTTTCTGACCAACGTTGATGATAACAATATTATAAGTTTATTTATGAGTTTAAGGTTAAAGTTGAATTATGATATTGTTATTTTCTGACCAACGTTGATGATAACAATATTATAATTCTATGAGTTTTATGTTTAAAGTTTAAATCTCTGATGAATTTTGCATCAAAGTGACCAATTTTTCAGAGAAAAGATAAAGATCAAGGAATGCTCTTAAACTAGAGAAATGTATTTTCCGCTGCAATGAAGTTGATTGTCTTCTAATTAAATTCGAACCAACGGGAGAATTTAATTTTGAGGAGCAGTTCTATGCTTTTAAGATTATTAAATTTCTATACGTTAATTCCATTTCTTTTAGCGGTGATGTGGAATTAATGTAGAAGAATGATGTTTTATTCTATTTACGCCAACGGTGATATAGAATAGAACATAAAGTTTGCAAAGTTTAATGAGCATTATTGTTGAATATTTTTTCGCACAAAAAGACCTACATGCTTTCATTCTTGAAGGCGAGAAAGATAAATGAGTCACGTACTTGTGACTCGGATGATGATGAAATGTCTAAGGGCAAGTTATGTATGAAAAATGCCATTGGTTAAGGGACTGTGTTCTCTTTAAAGAATGGCTTCAAAAGAAAAGAATTCTAGGATATTGATCCAAGAAAAAAAAAGGATCAATGAGAGTCTTCATTGAGAAATGTCTTTTATGTACTCTCTGTGGAGAAGAATTTATTTTCAGTTTCACTTATGAGAGTTGTAAAAGTCATATACATGTTTAATTTGACTAACATTGGATTAAACATGTGTGTTAAAAGAATATTCGGATTTATTTCTGAATTTGATGATTGAACACGAGCTAGTCCTGGCAATTATGTCCGTTCAAAGGAATATCTCGCATGGCGGAAAAAAGTTTATGATAGTACCCACATGGCGGGAAAAGTTTGAGAAAATACCCGCATGACGGGGTAAAGTTGGCATAGTACATATGTTAACCAATCCTGCATGACGGGAGAGTTTGGCATAGTACTTATCCCGCATGGCGGGAGAAGGATGTGATGACTCATGTGCTCTAAGTATATCTCGCACATGGAGAGAAGTTTGAGGTAGCTTTTATGCTATCCTAGTATTGACCGTACACTCTGATTGTGTCATGGTCATTAAGTACTCAATGAGTTTAAGAACAAAAGAAAGTTGCATGTGAATCAAAAGATAAGAATGATATGCAAGCATGACTTGCAGAAGTATTGATAATAATAGACTATGTTGAGTTTTGAAGTGTAATGAGGAAAATGTACTCCCATACGAATTTTGTTTGCATGCTGCAATCATGTGGATGAAGTAAGTAATCAAAGTTTCCTCATTCACAAGAGTTCTGAATGTTTCGAAATTGTGGTAGAAAAGTTCATACCACATTTCGAGGGGGAGAAATGTAAGATTAAGAAAGATACTTCCCCATATTTCAGATAAGCAATGCACACTATGCATTGAAGGTCAAAGTGATCTATAAAAGATGAATGTGATCGTTGAGGGAGTAAGACGGTCATAATTATGATACCCCTAAAGTAAAGAAATAGCTAAATTCCTAGACATTTTACAGTTCCGATAGGAAGATAGCATAGTCAGCTAGTATTTATACTGGATGACGCCATATGAGTTTTTAGCAGATTAAACCCAAAATAAGAAATTTGAAGATACACCATCTTTACTGAAGATGGAGTAATCTGGGGGAGCATGGTATGTAGATACCTAAAGCTTGAATAGAAGTGGGATTACATATCCACTATAGTGTTTAGAGCAACAAATTGCTTAATACATGTTGATGTTGTATGACATATACAACACCGCGTTAGCTCTTAAAGAGGATGAATAAGTAAACAAGGATCTTGTGATACAGGAGGCTATAGAACAATTGCCTTTTGGCAATGAAGAGTAACAATAGCCCCATATGAAAGAAGTGCCACGAGGCCCTAGAAGGTCTCAAAGAATAAGAAAATCAGATATTTCTGGTGACTAAGAAGAAATTTCTAATGGAGCCAAAACATTAGGCTATAATGGGTCTACAAGACAAAGGTGACTCCAAAGGAAATATGAAAAGCTATAAAGCGCCACTTGTGGCGAAATGATTTACACAACAGAGAAGGAATATATTATAATAAGCTTGCAAGGATTCTTTTATAATCATAATGGTATTAGTGGCACATTACGATTTACGACGCTACATCGGAAGGATGTAAAGACACATTCCTCAACGAGGATTTGTATGGAAACGTTTACATGGCATAACTCAAAAGGTTTTATCGTGGAAGGAAAAGAACGTAAAGGGATGTTGCCTAAAGAAATCCATTTATGGATTAAAGCAAGTTTCAAGGCAGTGGTTCTTGAAGTTTGACAGTACAATAAGAAAGTTTGGGTTTTAAAGAGAATGTAGAGGACAATTGTATTTATGCAAAGTTTAAACATGGGAAATTTATTTTCCTAATCCTGCATGTGGGTAGCACCTTACTCGCTAGTAGTGGTGTTAATCTACTGTTGGAGAAGAAACAGTTCTTGTCCTCAAGTTTCAATGAGAATGGTCTTGGTAAAGCATCATTCGCTCCAGAATTGGAACTTACCGAGATAAAAGGAAAAGGGGTATTAGAACTATCTCAAGTGTATACTTAGAGAAGATTCTAAAGAAATAAAGTATATATGTGAATAAACTGCGCTTTGTTCCTATAGTCAAGGGTAATAGTTTTCAAACTTTCAAAGTGTTTCAAGAATAAATGTGAGATCGATTAAAAGGACGTCATATATGCTTCATTTGTTGGAAGCTTAATGAATGCTTATAAGCAAGAACTTACCCCGACATAGTTCATGTATCCGGATATTTTGGCGTAAGTCCAATCCAGATATAGATCAATTGGAATGGAGATGAGAATGTTTTGCAATTGTGCAAAGATTTGTAAGCCTCATGGTGAGTAAGAAAGAATAAGTACTCTCAAATAGTTGTGGGTACAAATGTTAAATTTTGGCGAGATGTTTAGTGAAACCCATATAGTAGCTAACACTCATCAGCTTGGAGTTTTATTGTGGAAAAGCTCCAAAGAAACAGTTGTGGTGTCATCAAGGATGCATACCCACCGTATAGCTTGATATGAGGCTTAAAGGACAAAAGAAAGGGTTAAAAGAACTTACACCCGGAATTGATAATGGTATGTAACAAAGAATAACCATTTAAGTAGTTCGCTCCTATAACAACGGGTCAAGTGTGTTGCCAAACACATTGACATTAAAGTTGTACGTTGTGAAGGAGAAAGTCCGAATCATACTAAAAGTATTGAACATATAAGTAACAAGCAAGTGCTTGCGGATCCGCAGACAAAAGGCTTACCACCCGGTGTGTTTGGAGAACACACAATCGACATGGGTTTATGGTATAGCCTATGATTTCCTGGACAACAAAGGGCCCAAAGTTAAAGAATCTGCTTGAAACAGTAGATGTGTATTGTAGTCATTAAGTCTATCGGCAATTGACCGTGACGATGAAGCATGCTCTATGCACTAATGTGATTGAACAAATAAAAGTGAAAATGATTAAAGTCAAAGTTTAAAGTTAAAGTATGAGTTGAGATCAAGGGAGAGAATGTTGGTTTGATCTCCCAACCACAAGGGGCCAACGGCCACTTGGGCCTTGACCTCGCGCGATCGGGGCGCCCAGTCCATCTATGGTGGCGGGCCCCGTCACCACATGCGATTAAATAGAGGTGGGGTCGACGGCTCTCATCTGAGGTTCTTTGAGCCATACGCCCACCTAGAAACCCTACTCCGATCTAACAGAGGGCGCACCCAAGGACGGAAGCACCGCCGCCGCCATCGCAACTGCGTCACCACGGTCTTCATCTGCGTCGCTCTCTCTTCTCCGACCGTCATTTGCCTAGCGCAGAACTTCACCGATGAACACGATGGCCGGATCCCCTACTCACTTTGGATGGTCGGTGCCTAACCCTAGCTCTTCCTCTCCTCTCTCGTCCTCTCCGTTCACACCATTACTACGAGAAACAAAATAAAATCCCACTGGATCCACTACTAGATGATCAAAAGAGTATAACAGGACCTATTGTGGCCACGCTAGCAACGGTTTGAACGGCTCCAAAACGTTGATTCCTGTCTCCCTTTCGCCTAGTATCCTAGTCAGAGCTTTTCAGTTTCCAAGGCCTCCTGGCTTTACACGCCAGCATCGGAATCAGGCGATTAGTCCATGCCAAACACTTCAATTGCATCAAGAGACCAGAATCGCCTTTTTTTTTGTTATAATAAGAAGAAAATGGAGCACATTAAACCCTTTGGTGTGAGGTGGATGGGCCGGCGCGCACACAAATTATTGCGTGGGCCCAGACTGTTACAGGCCTGCTAACAGTGAGACACGGAATTGGCTTCAGAGACACCGAACACAAATGGAATAATTCGCAGCTGTAATTTTTTTGGTAGCTTTAGATCTATGATTTTATTTAGTTTATGATTGTTAAATATAAATAAATCTATAAATAAGCTATGCATGATTCAATGAGTATGAAATTTTTACTACAGTTCAATCTTACAATAATTAGTCCACCATAAAAATTTCATCACAATTGAATCATAGAAACTACAGCTATGAATTATTCCAATTAATTACAGAAAAAGCATCGATCTAAAGCCACAATAAATTTGTACTAAAGCATACCACATTGTATGTTCATTATGTAGATCTACTCATGTGGAGTCCAATAAAATTGGATTTTCTATTTTATGATTTTCTGTGATTTACTATGATTTTCAAAGATTCAACCGTAATAAATAAAAAAGAAAAAGACAAAACCGCCTTTAAATCTGTTTATAACAGGGTCAGAAAGATAAAATGAACGGTTTTAAAAGTTTAGGATGTGTTTTTGGCAGGTTTTAGAGTCCAGTTGGGAAAAACGGAGTTTCGCGAAAATTAAGGAAGGTGGCAACCAACGGCCGATCCAACAGCAGGGCGTCCACAACCTCGTACATATCGCCGCGCGGAAGCGGCGCGACCGCGCAAGCCTTTGTCCTCGACAACCCCCACACAGGTGTCGCGCGGCGCCGGACACGAGTCCCGCATGCGTCCCACGCGGCCGCGCCAGGTCCCGCCTCCGCGCATCCCTAAGTCTATAAACCCCGCTCTCCCTGGCCCTCGTCCACCTCACTCGTAGTCGTAGCATCAGTGGCAGCGGTAGTAGGCGCTCTGGGCAGTGTGCGCACGTGGTACCTAGCTCGCTCTGCTCAGCTAGCTTGCCATGGCTGATCACCACCGGGGCGGGACTGGAGGTGGCGGGGGCTACGGCGACCAGCACCGCGGGGGCGGCGTGCACGGCGAGGGGCATCAGCTGCTGCAGCAGCAGAAGCAGGGCGCCATGATGACGGCACTCAAGGCCGCGACGGCCGCGACCTTCGGCGGGTCGATGCTGGTGCTGTCCGGGCTGATCCTGGCCGGCACCGTGATCGCGCTCACGGTCACCACCCCGTGCTGGTGATCTTCAGCCCGGTGCTGGTGCCGGCCGCCATCGCGCTGGCGCTCATGGCGGCCGGGTTCGTCACCTCCGGTGGCCTCGGCGTCGCCGGGCTGTCCGTGTTCTCCTGGATGTACAAGTACCTGACGGGCAAGCACCCGCCGGGCGCCGACCAGCTGGACCACGCCAAGGCGAGGCTGGCATCCAAGGCCCGTGACATCAAGGACGCAGCGCAGCACCGCGTCGACCAGGCGCATGGGTCATGAGATGCACGCGAGAGCGGACCGCGTGTCCTGCTCCTGGATACCGCCCGCGGGGTGGCGTACGGCGGCGGCGCGCGACCACCGCCGGCGCGGCATGGCTCTACGGCTGCTGCTGCTACGTACCGTACGCTGCCGTAGAGTCTCGGTCGCCGTGCTAGCTCTAGCTAGTCGCTATGTGTTGTGCTTTATTTGTATGTGCATGTGTGCGTCTTGTTGGTACATGCAGTGTAGTATGATGTATGCGTCTTTCTTGATCGGAGTGACGGATGTACTGCATGCTCGATGTCTAGTTTGGACGTCATGTTTATGATGATGAGAATAAAATGCAGTGTTCAAGCGAGATGCTACGGTTTCCCGGACTACCATGCGATTTGGAGATTTCTTTGGCTCTTTGCAACAATAACCTGGCTCATTTTTTTTTTTTGAGCAATAACAATAACCTGGCTCGTCCGCTCGTGATACCATCGATCGGGATCGGTATGAAAAGAGGGCATGGGCTCACCTGACAAAGTGCTCTTGTGGGCTTGTGGCCATACATTCCTACATGAGGTCATGGCCTCACCTGACAAGTGCTCTCGTGGGCCTGGCCTGTGCCCATACATGAATATCGTGAGATCGTTTAGGGCTACCATGGGCTAACAACTGATTCAGCGCTAATGGCACCAAAGTCTTAATATTATCCTTTAGCCAAAGGCTCAACTTGTTAGTTCACTAAGTTAATCCTTCAAACCCAGCTGATTAAGTCTTAACATTAGCCTTTAGCCAAAGCCTCATCTTGTTAGTTCACTAAACTAGTCCTTCGAACCCGGTTCAAAAACTAGTCCTTCAGCTAAATAAACTAGTCCTTCAAACCCAGCGGACTAAACTAGTCCTTCAACTAAGTAAACTAGTCCTCCAAACTCGGCTAACAAGGGCTCAAGTTTAAGCTTTATATATAGTTGTTAGTTCATTAAACTAGTCCTTCAAACCCAGCCGACTAAACTAATCCTTCAACTAAGTAAACTAGTCCTCCAAACTCGGCTAACAAGGGCTAAAAGTGCGGAGGGCTAAAGTTTAGGCTCTAAGTTTAGCCAAAGCTTTAACTAGCTGTTAGTTTACTAATCCTAAAGTTTAGCTAATTCTCAACTAGTTGTTAGTTCACTAGTCCTTCAACCTAGCTAACAAGGGCTGGACGCGTCCTTCAAACCCAACTAACAAGGGCTAAAAGTGCGTAGGGCCAATAGGTGGACTAAGTTTAGCCAAAGCCTCAACTAGTTTTTAGATCACTAGTCCTTCAAATCCAACTAACAAGCAGGGCTGAACTAGTCCTTCAAACCTAGCTACCAAGGGCTACAAGTGATACCGATAAAAAGGTCATCTCTATCCTCTATTTTCTCTCTAACCAGGTGAGAGAGAGAGAGAAAGGAAGGAGAGAGGGTATTTCAAAAATCATCTCTATCCTCTCTCTGACCAGGTGAGAGAGGAAAGGTAGGAGGGAGGGTATTTTTGTCTAGAAGCTAATTTTAGCTAAGGAATTAAACAAACAAGGGCTAACAACTAGATAGCTAAGTTTTAGCTCACTATTAAAAGACAAGCAGGGTTGAACTAGTCCTTCAAAGCTAGCTAACAAGGGTTAAAAGTGATACAGATAAAAGAAGTCATCTCTATCCTCTATTTTCGCTCTAACCAGGTGAGAGAGAGAAAAAGGTAGGAGAGAGGGTATCTTAAAAAATAATCTCTATCCTCTATTCTCTCTAACCAGGTGAGAGAAGAAAGGGAGGAGGGAGAGTATTTTTGTCTAGAAACTAAAATTTAGCTGAGGAATTAAACAGACAAACATATCCTTACTCATCTAAGGGCCTGTTTTGATTCACTTGGACTGTAGAAGCTGGATTCTAGAATCTAGGATAGGATCCAAACAATCATAGCTTCTAGCCAGCTTCTAGAATCTACAGACCCCCAGATTCCATAATCTGGTAAGCTGAGGGAACCTAGCTTCTTGCGGCTTCTAGACATCAAAAGACCATGTTGTCCCTCTTTCTTCCATAGCAGGAGCATAAAAAATAAAAGAGTGAGGACATTATGGTAATTTACTTTGAAAAGTTGTCTATCTCAACTCATGCAATCTATGAATTCAAACAACCTCTAACTTAGCTTCTATAATCTAGCTTGCAACAATCTAACTTTTAGAAAGTCAGATTTCACAATCTATGAGGTATCCAAATAAGGCCTAAGATTTCTTCTTGTCTAGCCCAAACGATAAATCGGTAGAGAGGAAAGCTCTTTTTTTGGGAATTGAAATTTTATCTTGGGACTTGGTAGGAGCAACAACCCTGTCCTGAGCGATAAGTCCTTGACGAGTGAGCTGTGAACGGAGAATGAGACAACCAGTAGCGCAGGCTTTGTAGAATTTGGACCAGACAACTAAGACGACTACCTGATTGGAAATTTGGATGCATCCTGGCTCCTGGGCTACTCAGTGCGGGGGGTGGGGGGAGAAATGAACGACCTCTTGGGCATTAGGCCACTCTGGTGCGTGCGACGTTTTATTTCTCAATTTTCAAGATTATAACTTAGATTTTATCCTTATTTTAGGTTTATTTTTGAGTTTTCAACACTGTGATTTGAATTGAAGAATAAAACTTGGTCTCACCCCTCCTTTTGGAAGGTGGATTGGTGGGGAACAAATGCACATGGTTTTCAACATGAAATGGGGCAGATTCCCCACATCCATTTGGGAGAAGGATTAGAATCCCAACCGACTAAATCATTTCAGAAAATTCAGAAAAAATCAAGGAATTCAAAAATATCGTTGCCATTTAAAAAATCAGCACCCATTAAACTTTTAGTAGTTGTCGTATATGATTTGGCCTCAACCCATCGGTTCCTAGAAGATAACAGAAAAAACTTTATCATTCCCATTAGAATTCCATCGGTTTCTTCAAGTAGCGAACCAATAAACTCATAAAAGATATACTTTGAGAAAAACAAGCACAAACAACCAATGAAGAAGAAGATAGCTACTACCAACAATACAACCAAACACAGATACAAATGTTACTCTTAAAACTATCCACATTAAGCTAGAAGTAAAGTAGGGAAAGCAGACACATCTACTTGAGCTTAGCCCATTACATCTTGATCCTCATCTGATAAGGGAATCAGTGCAACAGCTACAAACTCGACCTCAATGTTGCATGCCAAAAAAAACTTCCAGTATAAGCACTTGGCATTACAAATAGTACATTCAGTAGGGTAAATCATTGTCATAATTATCACTTACATGGTAAAAAGCTACGTGTTACATGGCAAGGCCGTAAAGGTTTTACCATCCATCCTAATACAATATAAACCCTAACACGTACGCGCACAGGCTATGACTTATGTTCTAACAGGATCAAATATTGACCTTAGCAACAACAAATAAAGAGAACACACTTAGCTAGCTGGATACGTACAATAGTATTGCTCCAGGTTTTTTAGAGATAAACATAATCTACTAATTGGATACAAGGTTACAAAAATCATTAAGCGCTACGCAAGTGGTGACCCACCGAGCGTGCTTAATCATTCCTAATCGTACTTAAGAATTTTCTAATGCAGCAGAAATTCAGAATTTTGGTCTTGGATCGAACAAATGAGAGATGAGAGTGGAGAGCAATTGGGAGAGTGCAAATGAATCAGGGGCTAGGTCCCTCCTGCTTCCACATCTGTTCTAGTTGATGTCCGTATTTACCCGTTTTCATATTCTCGAATATCCAACTCTTTTTTATGTTCCTGGTCAAACTATTCTGAATTATTTTCACTTTGCTGATGTTAGTATTCTTTTTTCCCCTTGGTCTTAAACCTAATATACAAGTTTCTAAAAAATTATATCCATGTTTTGTTACGGACGCATGATAATGCTAACCGGAGAGGTCATATACATTATTTAGATGCAAGGTTACAAAAAACGTTAATCACTGCAAGCGTTCCTAAGTGTTTCTAAGTGTTTTGTAATGCCGCAAAAATTTAAATGTTGGTCTTAAGAAATGAGATTGGAGAGCAATTGAGAGAATGAATGATGGGCAAGACCCCTTTTTGTAGGGTAGGTGATTGGGGATATTTTCACAAATTCCTCTAGTGGGGCTTGTATTTGAAAAAGAACATCTAGGGGTTATAAATGGACCGTAATCATTATCTCACAAGTCTCTTGGCTATGTAATTGGACCTAAAAACACTAATAGGTCCCTAACATACAATACACCCACAGCCGCCCATCCCAAATAGGGGCGCCTCTATGGCCGGAGGAGTGGAGACCCGACCCCTCCGTAGTTTTTAGTTTTTTGTTGATCCTTGTTCTTCTAGGGTTTGTGAAAGGAGCTTGATGTCGCCTAGAGGAGGGGGGTGAATAGGCCTGTTTCAAACAAACTCGTGAAAGAAGTTAAATTCTAAGTGCGGCTTCTTTGCTCCCATGGTGCAAAGATCCTTTGCCAAGACTAAAAATGCAACATCTTATTGCGCTGCAGACAAGCTCGAACTATAATTCAAAAACTGCCCAAAGAAAAGTAGATCGAGCAAATTACTGATGTTCCTAGGGTAGTGTAGAGCCTATTCCACCACCTGGATGTTGGTGAAAGTGCACGAGCAAGTAGATCGGGACCAAACCCTAGAATCACCACAAATACAAGAATAGCAATGCAAATCACAAGAACACAAGTGAGACACCGATTTATCCTGTGGTTCAGCTCGCCATTAGGGCTTGCCTATGTCCATGTTGTTGAGGTAGCCACAAAGGCTTTGGTCTGTTTTAACCTTATCCTCGTTCTCAAGTCAAGAGAATGAACTCTTGAGATGAGTGGTGATTTCACTAGATGATTGGGGTGATTACAAACCTCCCGGGGCTACCACACAAGTTGGCAAGCTCCACGGGCAATGCTCTAACTGGCTAGGAGCAAACTCCAAGAGTAACAAACACAATCCACTGGCTTGAACGCAAACCAAGTGCTCTAGGAGATGAAGAACAGTTGGGGCTACTCTCTAAT